GCCTCATGCATCCACTCTTCTTTCTCCTCTGCTGCAATCCTGTAAGTTATAAATGATATGGGCTCTTTTCCTTTTCTTTTTATGTCTTGCTAATATTTGGTGTCTTGCCTTGGGTGTAAAGGTTAAAAACTTTTAAGATTGATGGTCTTTGACATAGGAAAGTGACTTCTCTGTTAGAAAGACATATTTAATAATTCTATATTTAACAATTTAGGTCAAGAAAAAAATATCCATTTATCTAGCATCTATCTGCTGTCCTTTTGATAGACAGAGCGTAAAACTATTGTTACATTACATGAATAAAATGGCCAGAGATGGTGCTTTTACTTGCAGCTTGAAGTCCATTTCCAGTTACCACTTCATATATATTTTACTTTAGTTTTTTTCATTAATAACTCTACTTGGAGTTTTTCAAAGAAAGACAGTATCAGGCAGATAGGACCAGGGGAGGGAGGGAGAGCAGGGTAGGGGAGGAGATTGCCTATGTCAATTCTCTGTTCATCATCTTTTCAATCACCTTTTCATCCCCTGTTCTAAAAAAGTGACAATCTTCACAAAACACTATCTGGTCCTCTTCGTGCAATGATACACAGGACTAAATCATGAACAAGACATGTATTTTATTTCTAGTCCTATGACAGAGCAATTCAGAGTACAATCTGACTTAAGCTCTGCTTCAGCACTGGCAGGATTTTTTCCTATTCCAAGGGAGTACAGCTCGCTCACGACAGGGCTGCAAGAGCTTTGTCCTCTTTAAAGCAGCTCTGAGTAAAGCCTCAACGGCTTGCCAAGAGAATTATCAAAACTGCAGATCGCAAGAAAAGCTCTGTGACTGAGCTATCGAAGGGAAAGAAAGGAAGCACACCCAACCGTTAATTCCCATTTTTCCAGTACTTTAACTTGCCATAAAGCTTGTGAACCACCAGAGGGCATTACATGCCTCAAAAAAATGCAGATTGGTAAACAATTTGAAAGCAAGGGGAAATTCTTCTTCTAGCCTTCTTAGGATTTTGGACATTTCATATTACTAATCAAAAGCTTAATACAAAGAGAACTATTCCAAGCACAGTGTCTATCGGGTATTTCTCAACTGCTCTTTCATTCCAGTAGCTCCTTCACTGGCAAAATAGTTCTCACTTGTAAACAAAGAGTGAAAATAAATTATGAAGACATATTTTCCCTTCTCGACAGCTGAATCTGAGGAAAAACTAAGAGCGTGTTGATTTTTTACCTATTAACTGCATAGTTTTAGGTTTCATTTGTCCTATTCCTTAGCTAACCCACTGCAGACTTTTCCTACTTAGTGAGCCATGTGTTTATGGGGATTTTGCTTTCCTAGCATCAAGTAATACTGAAGTCCATCAGCTGAGGGGTCAGCCTTTTGCATATCATTAGTTACAGAAATATGGCACAGCTGAGAGTACATTTGTCCTTTAAAAATTATATTAGAAAAATATGCTTTCATTTTTGCAAGTCTGCAATCTTGTCTAAGGACTCTCAACACTTCATCTCAAAGAGCTTAACATGTAGACAGCCTCTAAATTTATACCTATGTATTGTAATTTTCTATAAATCAAGAAAAATTAACTGTGTCACTTACACTGAAAGAAAACAACCAGGGAAAAGACAAAGAAAACAGCATTTCTCATAATTCTGTGCACTTCTGTGCAGCTTTGCATTGCATTGAATTAATGTTGGGGTTTTTTTTCCCAAAGCCTGAGAGTTTTAGCAGCACTTGGAATGATCCCTTAGCTTCACATATAAAAAAACTTTATTGCCCATCTCGATATTCAAAACTAAGTTATGTAACAATATTTTTTTACCAAGTAATGTATTTTATTGTATTTCTGTTCTTCTGATAGAAATAGGGTCTTCAGGCAAAGAAATATAAAGGTGAGTTGACGTTCTAATGCATCAATGCATAATTATATGTTACCAGATAATCTAATATACACTTCTTCAGTGTAGCATACTAGCAATTTTCTAGAATGTTCTTAAATAAATAAATAAATATGTGTAAACCATCTTTTTTAATTGAACCTAGCAGATAAAGTTTGGAATCATCTATATTTCTAAAATGCATTAAAACTAAAGGTTACTGAATAAACTATGTAAAATAATACATTTCTTTTTACAAAAATACTGAATTATCATTGAAGTTGTTGATTAAACTTTGTTATGTAAGAAAAGAAAAAATCTAAAATATGCGTAAGTCATCAAATAGGAAGAATGGAAAGTAATTTCTTCAGTGGAACTTACTTTTACACAAGGATGTTAAAGAATATAGCAGCTAAATCTTTTTATTATACAAAGCATCCACCTTTCCAAGTTTGTAGATGACTGCTTAACTTTGTACCTTAGAATGTAAACATAGCATAATAGTTATTTGTTTCTTTACAAGGCAGGGATGTGCAGTGACTTACATCAATTGCTTAGAGAGCAGAAGCCCATGTGGTCATTTTCAAGGTGTTTTCAGCATATCATTACCATGTAGGATGTACTCACTTGCCCGTTCATCCATTGTGGGTTTGCTTCCTTATTTGAATACTGGCATATTTTATTAATATGTATATCATAAATCTAAGATTTAAAAGTACAATGTTTGCATTCAAGTCCAGTCCTAAAATTAAAATACTATTTCCTTCCGCTTCGGTGGATTAGAGGAAAAATGCCTCTCTGAGAAAAGGATAAATGCCCAGAGGCATGTCCACAAATGACTCACTGACACTTTGTGTACATTATCCTTCTGCTTGTTTCAGAACTCAGCAAAACACTTTGTTGGTCATAGATGAGAAAAAGCCTTGTCCAGCTAATCCTGAAATGATCTCAACTTTCAGCATCATCTAGGCTGCTCTATGAACAGGACTGACTGTGCTAGGAAGCAAAGGCTAATTGGTCTTGAGAACAGCTGTCCTGATAGGTAGAAGATATATCAGTAAGAAACTATGAGGCAATATTAATTCAAACTCTAAGGCTAATAAGGACAGTATTTGAGTTGTGAGTCTCTAATACAAACAAAAACTGCTTTGAGTTTAAGCAGATTGTGACTTCTACCCACAAAGCCTGTAAGTCACTGAACTAGAACTTGGCTCAAAACCCACGTCTGGATATGGGCACTGCAGTCCCGTGCTATGCTGCTAAAAAAACTTACGCAGGTGCTCTGAAATTTGAGCTATCAAAGTCAAGGAGACTGCTCTCAGGACTAAGAAAAAATATCTTCTTTTTCATGTTGGAAGGAAAAGATGGAAGGAAGCTTTCAAAATGTCTTTTATTTCTTACTGCTTTTGCTGACACTTGACCCTTTTTTCTATTAATGTCAACATTTATATCACAAATAGTGTAACCCAGGTGGCATCCAAAGAAGTTAATTTGCCTCACGTGAGCCAAACTTTCTTATGTAAAAACTTCTGCAGAAATTATAAAGAAAGATTAGGTATGCATGTGCTAAATTTTCATTCATATCTAAATCAGTAACTTATTGAAAAGTTATGCTCTCTAACCAAAAGGATGGCTTTCAACAAGTGTTTTGAATTGTTAATGTTACTACATGCTTATCAGATATGACTTATGAATGTGTTTTGGGTGGTTATTTTTTGTTTGTTTTGCTTATGACACAATTGGTTTTTTTTTCTTTAGATAAACAGTAGATAGAAGGGAGCGAATAACAGTCATCCCAGATTATAGCAAAGCCTGGTCAAAAGAGAAATTTAGCCTAAGTCACATGGGATAAAACATGCTCTCACTAATATTGGTGCAAAGAATAAGAAGTACTGGTCAATGGCAGCAGCTGGAGGGAGTCAAAAAAAGAGGTGAGAGGATAGGAGTCACTCTCATGGTCAAACAAGAGATACCTCTGCATCAACTTGTAAACAAGCACTTTAATCATGTTTGCTACTTCATTCGAATTTGAACAATTCATATTGAAACATGAAAGATGGTTTTATCTTCCTTCTCTTTTATGCAGGTCCTGGATGGCTTTAAGCAAAACACTTCTCATCTGAATTATGAGGATAACAATAATAACATTTCCCTGTCTCAAAGGGCTGATTATGAGAATAAATTAGATATCAGATGTTATAGTAATGCATCCCAGTAAATGAAAAAATTTTCAACACAAAATAACCACATTTACATTCTTTTTTAGATACCTACATTTCAAAAATCTCTTTTGGCAATCATAAGCTGTTTGTATGTAAACAAGGAATTTCTGGATGGTTAACCCCAGAAATGTGAAGAACACTTATTGGGAAATACTTCAGCTAGTTGACAGTAGAATTATATAAAGAGGAGACTATTAAATTATTAAATGACCTACACTACAGCTTCTTGTATGCAGTTTTGCAGCTGGAGGAGAAGTGACTGTTAGGATGCTTAGTTTGGTCTCTTCAAAATGTCTACAGTGAGGATCTGGATTGAAAAGTGATTATGTAAAAATAGCACTTCCTACTCAGCAGATCTGTTCTTGTGCACTTTAGTGGTGAGAGAGAAAAAAAAAAAAGAAAAAATATCACTGCATATCTTCCCTGCTGAGCCACCATATCTCTGGAGGAAAGAAACTGCATTATACTCCAGTTTATGCAACTTCATCAAAATCACCAATTTAAAGCTATAATGTACCTAAGCAAAACCCATCATTTCAAAATTGTGCCCTTTGAAATCAGACCTGCATAACCTCATTACCTTCAGCTGAATGGAAATGAATGAAATGAAAGGAAATAAACCCTTCACACTGAAAAATCATGATTGGATTTCCTCCAGCTTCCTATCATCACCCAAACTAATCAAGCTATTTTCTCCCCAGGTGGAAAATGAATAGAAAGAGAGAGGTGATGATGATTCTTTTTTTAAATATTTGGCAGGTAGTCTCAGAGCATGGACCCCATATAAGTTTCAAGAGGTTACATGAGGACTACAGAAGGCTAATACTATGCTAACAGCTGCTAGCACAGGGATGTAAACAATGCAAAAATCAGGTTCATGCAGTTTTGCCAGCCTGTTACCAGGATTGTCAGACTCCTAGGTGATGGAGCGGGCTTCGCCACTATCAGCTGCTTCCAAAGGATCAATATATCACAGCAAATGTTCCTCTTCCAGCTTTTCAAAAGAAGTCTTTGTCAGCATGATTTTTTTTCCCCAGGAAGAGCAGATGATGAAGCTCCTTTAAAAAGCAAAAGAAAAAAAAGTACAATTTTTAACACGAGAAGATGCATACTTAGTATCTGTCTAGAGATTTGAAAGGATACTTTGATCATTCTTGCCAATTACACACCTGTTAGAGGCGAGTATATTTACATATTTAATATTCAGCTAATCTCAAAAAACTTCTTTGATCAAACAGACACGCCATTTATCCTCAAACGCTGTGCCAAAATCTCATCTCTAGATAGCCTTATGTGTGAAGTGATGAATTTGTTTTTAAGTCTTTTACAGAATGTCCTCCATTTTTCACTTCATATAAAACACCTACCCTTTTAACAAGTGTATTGCCTCTCTTGAACACTATCTTTAAATATAAAAGAAATCATACCAGAACGGTTCCCTCAGGGTTTTGCCTTTTGACATTTCTTAACTCAGAAAACTTCTGAGAAGGAAAATTAATGGCATTATGCTTGCAGACACAATCCTTTTCTAAATGAACAGAAATGTCTAGATATTTCTCCTTCCCATTTGTGACACATCCTAGTTTGCCTTATAGACTAAGATGCTGAATGACCTTCACTAAGTCCCTGGAGCAGTGGACTTAGAAGCTTGACTAGCCCTAGAACTGCAAGTTCTGAGTTAGGGCTTGTGCACAAATTGAAAATGGAAAGATTACTGCATAAGTTCACAGGAAAAAACCCACATACATTCTGACAGAAGCCAGTCCAGCAATAGAGGTTTTGCAACAGACTCTGGAGTCAGGTCTGTTACATTAGAGTTTGATATGACAAATCCCCCCAAAAAAGCCTTTTTCTTTATTAAATTGTGTTCTTATAGAATGCTTTCCAAGCAATGTGTAAGCTTGTAATTCTTTTCTTCTTTGTACCAAGCTTTCTCTTAAATCTCCTAAAAAACCTCTTTCCCAAAATAAGAATCCACACAAGAGAGCTTTATTCCACAGAGATGCAAACGCAGCATCACAATTCCTCTATGTATTAAGAATGCAGCATTGCTTTGAACTTCAGATTAGATCTTTGAGATCTTTCAAGCATGGTCTATGTGTTTACTAAAGCACCAGGCATTCCTCTCCTTACAGTACCAGGCATTCTAACAGTAGAGTGTTAAGACCTCAAGGCATGCAGTCTGCTAACAGAACTGTAATATATTTGGAGCCACTGGCAGAAAAGCACTACTTTCTTTTTTTTACAGTCCTAAAATTGAACTACCAATTGAGGCTGAGGTCCACTCGTCACCAGTATGCCTCATTAGTGGCATTCGGTGTTTGAAGGAATAACTGATTTTGTACAGTTGTTTTCAGGGTGCAAGGTGCAACTGTATGGACTTACTTAAGCATGGACTACAGAGCTTGATAATCTATAAGATGCAAAATAGGCAATGAAAATATTGGAGAAAAACAGAAGAAATTCTCTTTCAGAAAGTGCAGCAATCTTTTCATCCTCATCTATCACAGAAAAATTCTGGAGGTCGTAAATCATGTTTTCTTACCAACTATAAGGTCAGTAAACAGTAGAACTTACTACAAGGATATAAATAATAATCTTAAAAATTTACAAAGATAAAATTAAATACCCTTCAGCAAGAAGACTATTTTTCCTTCCACATCACCAGATTTTTTTACTTTTTTCCTTTAGTCATAAGACTCATTTTCTTTGCAAATGTTTTTTCTACCTGGGACAAATTTGTAGAAACTGATTTACTGAGAAGAATTCTGACACTTTCCTGGCAACTTGCAGTGATGGCTGGTGAAAGCAGCTAAATTTTGCTGTAGAAGATATTTGCAAAAACTCATGAAAACAGCTTTTGAACTCATCCAAATGTCATACCCCTAAAGAGAAGTCTAAATAGAAATTGTTATTTTTTACTCACTCGAGGAATCCCATTTGGTATATTGCCTATACAGCTTAATATTAAAGTTGGGGTTTTTTGTTTTGTTTTGTTTTGTTTTCCCCCCAAAAAAAAACCCACTGAATTTAAGCCTTGTTTTTCTTGTAAAGTTGCCTAAACTGAATATCTATCATATAATTTTGCCAGGAGACTGTTTTGCTTCTAGCGATTTCACCCTGAAGTCTACAAAATCTGGTGAGATCTATTAAGAATTAAAAACCAAAAATGCTGGGTATCCCTGTTTTGCCCAACTCCCCATAGTCAGACACAAGCAAGTAAAAGAGGTTCCAAAGAAAAGCCAAGAGCTCTGTCCCTGCATGTCATGAATTACAGATCACTCTCCTTTGCCTTGTAAAAAATATAGGGCTTATAGTACAAAAGTTACCAGAGGACGCTACCAGTATTTCAGGTTCCCTACAGCAGCAGGATATTTGTTCTGCTTAGAGGAACCCAGCAGTACCACAACCCAGCTATTTCTCCTATATCATGGCATTTTCGGTTTTGTTTTTGTAAGTGTTTCAGTCATGAAAAGAAAGACCACAAGAAATTTGCATCCAACAAAGCAGTATGTCAAGGACTTTAAAGTGTGTATATCTCACAAAACTCATCCTCAGTGCAATGCTTTTTCTATCGCCTGTCTTGATAGTTAATTTCCTAAATAAACTTTAGAAGCCTTTCATTTAAATTCTTCATGGGTATAACTTGCTAAAGGTGATTCAGAAGACAACTTAATAAAGGTTGATCTTGTGAAAACAGAACAGAACAAGATGACAAGAAATTAGAGTACTATTCTTGGTTTTCCATATTTTTTTCTAATTCTGAGAAATTTATTTAACCTTGCTGTACTTCATTGTACTCTAAGGATAATGATACATGCCTATTCTACAGAGATCTGTGAAAATAATTATCTTTACATTTCAAAGCTATGGGAATGAAAAGTATCATTACTTCACTGTTATTTAATTGTATTAAAAATTATCCTTCAGCTTCCATTAAAGTCTTCGGTATTTAATAGAACAAAAGTGAGCCAAAATGATGAAGGCCATAGACCCTTATTTTCTCTATGGGTAAAGGTGTTTACTTACATGAATTGATTGGCAGAGCAAAGTCTTTTTAGAGAAACAGAGCCTATCTTCTTTTTGAAGGAGGAAGAACCCCTATCAAATGTTCATCACCAGTTTGTGGGTTCTTCCTAGCCTTTTTGCAGCATTTCAGGTCTGGGAGCTTTCGGATTCTGTGAGCACTATAATGCTGCTGTATTACACTTCAAAGAAAAATAATCTAAAAATAATCTAAAGAAATCAAGCTCTCTGTTCTTAACATCGCAGATGGGAGAACAACAGTTGGATGCTCACTAAACATAAATCTCTCTGCAGCATTTTAATAAAATTTCCTCAATACTCTGCTGACATAAATAAGGTATTTCATAGAATTTGTTATTAAATATAAATCTTTTGACAGATCTAAGAGCCCATTGAAAATTAATAACAATTATGAGTAGTGCAACATAACTCCCCCCTTCCTTTGCTCTAACCAATGTACTGTGTTTCTGAAAGTAATTTTTGCAAAATCAGAAGAGCTGTCAGCAGAAAGATGACTACATCACTAAGGTCAGAAGCTATATAGGATCTTTTAAAAGGGAACATTGTGATAGCTGAGCTACACAGGTGAGATGCAGTAATAAACCCATGTAATGACATCACCCTTCCCCAAAGAATTTACATTCTGTGACTGGGCAGATGAAAAAGTGAAAATATTTTGGATGTTATTGTACTTTGCATGAACACCATCTTTGGGTGTTACTGATTGGTGTGACTATCGAAAAAAAGTGTGCTAGAATAACCCTAAGAATATTTAGAGTGTGTTTAAATAATAGCCCTCAAGAAATAAACTTATCAGAGTTAATTTTCTCTCTCTCTCTCTATATATATATATATATTTTTAAAGTTGTTATGGCTTCAGATAAAATGTATGTATTAAGTTGGCTTGAAATTTTGGAAAATGGTTATAGCAGATCAGATTTACACCCTAGCATGCTCAAAAGTTTACATCATGACTCACTAAGATGGCAACATTATTCGAATGCTGGGTCCTTACCTTTCTGTTTCCATGTCTTTTCTTTTTTCTGTGAAATGAAGAGTGAAGAGTGTATTTCATCCTCTAACTCTAAGTCTTCAGACATTACAGTCCCCTGCAGCTCCGAGTCACAAATCAAGTACTTATTACAGTCTGGACTCTCGGTATCTGATTGTGTTTTGATTCCTCAGTTCTGATTGCAATGAATGGTGTCACCCTTCTGCAACAATTAAATTATTTTAAAAAGTCATACAAACACTACAACCATATACTTAGTTTTTGTTGCAGAAAACTAATTAGCCTGTGAATAAATTATTTCTAATGTCTGAAGGAGGTCAGTGAATGAATTAAATGAAAGGTGTGTAAAACCTCTGTTACATTTAATTACCAGAATAAAGATGGGCTACTGTTACCTTCTGAAATGATCCTTCCTGGCTGCAGGGTAGAAAGTCAGAATAAAGAAAGGTAGTACATTGACTTTATTAATGTCAGTGATAGTAAAGATAGCACCAAATGAAAGACAATGAAAAAAGCCTCAGGGTCACCTGACTAGCTGAACTTGCAACAGCAGCATACCCACATTACACAAGGAATTGAAGCTACTCTGACAGTCAAGGTCTAAAGGGCCCCAAAGTTGCAAGCAAAAAGTTTCACAGAAATTTTTAAGGATCTGAGATAAAGCTGGATTAAGCAATGTCTAAAGCTGCTTCTGTGTCATAACAGAGAAGAAAAAATCCTAAACTAGAATCCAAGAAAGTATGACATTTGTAAAATTATTCAGAACAACTCTTCGATATCTATGATGCATCTTCCATTGTGGCTTTCTAATTTCTGTTCCTCGTGAATTATTCCAGAAAATAAGATGCTTCTACTCTCTCCTCTTCACAGCTGAGGTTCAGGAAACTACTGTTACTTCTTTTTCTTTTATATACCTAAAAATTAATCTAAAGATTCTGGCAACTTTTGGAAGGCAGAATACTATCATAAAAGATACAAAGCGCAATGCAGTAGCCTTCATCTAATTTTTGTAATGTTAAAAGATGTGTATGAACAAAGTGGAGCAAGATTAATAATCTGAGTCTTATGAGGTGCTTTTGTTTTGCCACTGTGTGTACTGTATACCTATTTTTTACATATATATCTGTGGAATTTTACCCTTAATACAGATGTATTTGAAGAAACACCATGAACTCAGTTGTATACCAAATAATTTAATTTGTCATACAAGTTTTAGCTACATGCTTATTTAGGTGCTTATTTACATGCTGAGTAGTGCTTAGTGACTTCTATGGTTCTAGAGATTTGAAACCATTTGGATGCTATTCTATTTATAGGTCTTAACCATTAACTTTGTGTTCATTATGGGTTCAGTTTGCTATTATATGCCAAAAATTCAAGTTTATTCAGGTGAAAAAAAGTACATCAAGAAGAAGTATCAGTTACTTTCACAGAATGGGTCGGGTTGGGAGGGACCACTGGAGGTCATCTAGTCCAACCTCTCTGCTCAAACAGGGTTCTCTCTAGCACGTTATGCAGAATTGTGTGCAGACAGCTTTTGAACATCTCCAGAGGAGGAGACTCCACAGCGTCTCTGGGCAACCTGTTCCTTTCTATGCTTTCTCAAAGAAAGGAAAGTCCTTGAGTTTCATTTTCTATTCTGCAGCATTCTTTCTAGAGAACAGCAGTGTGCAATCAGGAGAGCTCTGCAATTACCAACTACATGGAAGCCAAAGTGAGGTTTAAGTGTAAACTTTGTTCGCTGATCTAAGTTGATCACAATCTAAATATGCACATTTACCTGACACAGCTAGATTTAACTGTGATCTAGAATAAGCTTTGAGTTCTACTTTTTCAATAGGAAATGGTTATGTAAACCTAAAAATTACCTACAGGATTTAAAACAAAGAAATAAATAGAAGTAAAATAGAAATAAATAGAGGGCATTATCTAATATTAACATATCATTTCTTATACACTGTATAACATTTTTAGGAGTGCAGATTCCAATTTATTATAGCCCAGAATATGCAAAAAAGCACATCAATTCAGTTAAACACAGTTCATAGCTTGGGGGAAGAAAACAAGGTTTATATTATCATTGCATTTTTGCCTGTTTCAGTAGCAGGCTATTAAGTCATATAGAGACAAATTTAGCATATAAAAGAATTGTGCTCTCTTTCTGTAATATAATGAGATAATAATAATGAGATTTTAATTGTTCCAGAATCAGATTCTGCCACTGTTATAATGTATAGCATACTGTTAGCAGAACACATTTACACTTTTCTAACTCAGAGTCCACTGAACACTTTCTTGCCACTGAAGGGTCAAAATACACACAAGAAGAAATACTATGTATGACTTGTGTGTTAACCCATTGATTTCCGGCTATTATCTTACTTGAGAAGTTGTAGACTTAGCAGAGTAATTTTCACACTCTCATACTGTGTTTTTTCAATGTACTTTTTTTCTTTTCATGTAATTGTATGAAAAATTAGATATTGGGTAAAACAGTTAAAGCTAATAACCCCTATGAAGCTTTACAGTTTTTTGTTGCCAAATATTTGATTAGCATTTTTATTTCTTTAGGTTAGTAGAAAATTGAGAACTGCCAGGAATCAAGATGACACACAGAATCATGTAATGGTCTAGGTTGGAAGGGAACTTATAGATTATCTAATCCAACTTCCCTGCCATGGGCAGGAACACCTTCCACTAGACCAGGTTGCCCAGAGCCCCATCCAACCTGGCCTTGAACACTTCCAGGGATGGGGCATCCACAGCTTCTCTGGGCAGCTTCTTCCAGTATCTCACCATAATACAATCTTTCACATGATTTAAAGGGTGGAGATTTAGGCACTTACTCAGATATTTTGGAGTGCAAAATGCTCAATCCTGTTGCTGCATGCAAGAACAAGTTGGCTTTAACAAGATCTTCCACTATTACCAATACGCAGTAAGGAGAAAACACTGGTTTTTGGCATTTACTCAAAGCTTAACACAAGCACCGGTCTACTTACTTGTCCTTGTCTTGCACATTAAGATATATGCATTAGGCCAAATAAATGAGAGAGATCACAAACCTATTTCTAATCACAACAATTAGACAAAGAATTTTTATTAGAGACCAAATGCCTATCTAAGGTCTTCTGAAACTATTAGATGTTTTTTAATTTGGCATACCTTAAACATGACTAATCAGTACAATCTTAATCTGATTATTACACTCCGTACTCATGTATTCACTGCAAAGTTTGGTCTGCCAAGTTATGTCATTTAAGAGCTCCATTTGGGCTTGATCATTTGAAAAGCTCAGTATCATGGTTGAATGCACCAAGAGGCTGTAGTAGTCCTGGTAAGACTCCACTCATGAGCCCATGACCTCAGAAGACTCATTTAGTCTCAGGCTGCTCTATCCTATAAGTGTTACCTACAATCCTCATCCCCACATCGCTGCACTGGCTTGTTGCCTTGCTTTTGCCATATGGTCTTTTCATAAGATCTATTGTTATTACCACCCTGCTCTACTTATTCAGCTCAGGTGCAATTGGACTGTGCCCTGGCAATGAGGGCACTGCTCATCCTGTGTTGTGGCTGCTCTCAGCTCCTGGTTTACCTTTAACCTTGCAGTCCTGCTCTTGCTGCTCCCTGGCATTCAGTAGCCGTCATTCCTGTCAAAAGTGAATCTCTTCTACAAGTGAGGCACCTGAAAGCATTCAGCATATCATCCATGGAGCAGCTCAAGCATACTACTCGCTATTAGCACACTCAGTTACAAGACTTGCCTTCAATATCTTGCTCTTTTTTCCCACTTTAGCTGCTCTGCTTTTCAGAACTTTTCAAAATGTGCTAGTAACTCTTCTTCCAAGATGCACATGCAAGGGTGCTCTGCCTAGAATGGGGTAAACCAACTCAAACAATGCCCTATTTGCAAAGCTACCAGTAGTAAATGAAAAAGGGGTTGTCATGCTGCTTTTGGTGTTGAATACTGCCGAAACCAATCTGGCTCATCAATCCCAAAGTTAGCCATCCTGATAGTGACATGAAGATGAGGTAGACCTGGTGAAGTATACAGACAAAGGAATAAACAAGCAATACTACTAAAAACTTATCTAAAGCTGCTAAGCTGACACAGCTGGCCTGGAGATATATGACTAACAGTATACTACTATAAAAGCCCAGTCCCAAATTTTAATGGTAGTGTCTTCTTGGAGTGTATTGTACAGAGATTCCTCCCCTGAGTGGGGATGCCCTCAAGGTTACTCCCTGAGGCTGAGCAAAAGAGATTTGCCCACGGTCATTAGCATGGGTGAATAACATAAATCTCTACTTATTGTTTTTGCTAGCTTTAATATGATAGTTTTAACTTAATTGCTTCAACATTGTTTCATAGTGTGCTATATCATAATAGTTGTTATAGCTCCTATATTGTGTAGTACATAATTCTGATTAAGATCTTTCTGCCTAAACATTACCATAATAAAGAATATATATGTTTATATATATATATATATGGTCTGCCATCCTTAATCCTGCAGGATAAAGTTGTATAAAGGTTCAATTACACCTATGTAATCCTTTAGACATAAACTGTTGACAAAGTCTGGGGCTAAGATGGGATCCAGCCACACCCAGGCTCCTCTGGGAAGTAGTTTAGAAAGCAAGGGAGTCCTTTCTGCACCCTGTGACTGAGCAGCGGGAGGGCTTCTTTAATAAACTTTGTCTGAAGCTCCCACTCTGCCCACTACAAAGGGTTTAGCTGTGATTTGTATGAGAATAGCAGACGGCAGAAAACATCTTGCCATGAGTGGTAGTAGAAACAGCTGGAGAAATGGCCAAAGACAGACTTGTGCAGTCCAAAAGAAAAATGCACATTGTTCCCCATAGCCAGAGTCAATTGATTTCCATGACAGTATCTTACCTAGCAAACATCTCAAAATTTTTATCTTCCTCACCACTGCTCCAAGAGCCAGAGGAATAGAACAGGGGTGAATATTCAAGCCATTTAATTTCTTCTACTATATACTTAAACCTGTGGTGTGCAACTACAGATGAGGGACTCTAGGAAAGCCCTCTAATTAAATTGGTTGAGAACAGATCTGTTCCAGATTTGCTTTACATCTCTCCTAACAATCTATTTTCATATAACTTACTAAATAATGTGCACCTCAGACACAGTTATGAAGTTTCACTTTTACTGCCCCAGCCATCTGCACATATATTAAAGACTTAATAATAGTCAATTACATCATCCAAAAAGCAAAAACAAGAAAAAAAAAAGCTGTTAAACCTCTGCCAAATTTGGAGAATAATATCAATTGTTTTTTTTGGAAAGCATCAGGAGTTTGGAGGAGGCTAAAAGAAAAGATTACTTTCTGTTAGAAGACCTTTATAGAGCAATCTGCATGCTGCATCTTAAGGACAAATCCTGGTAAGCCTTTGGATATAATGTATTATCTGTCCATTTCTCATAAAATATACTTAAAATGTAGAATATTATATTATATGAACTTTAAAAAATACATCAATTTCAATCATCTCTGTAAAAGAAATTGTTTCCTTGTCTTTCTGATAGTCTGTTGATAAAGGATGGTTTTACACAGTCCAAAAGAAGACTAAGTTAATGTCTCTAACAACTCAATTCTATTAAGAGATTTAAATTCTCTTAGGAAAAAAAATATAGTTAACCTTCTCAATTTGCCACAATATTAAATTTCTTAGAAACGAAACCACAAGCATTTTTTGACTCATTTACAGCATGCAGATAGCTTGTCTCATCTTTCCTACTTAAAGATAAAAGCCACATGTAAGAAAGAGCATTTAGAAACTATTAGGTATCTAATCAGTTGATCTTAAAAGCCTCTGAAATTATGGCATGTAGGCCAGCTGACTATCAGTAACAGGACTAGTAATAGTGTGTTATCAGCCCAAATAGAGAATAGAAGCTCTACAAGTTAAATTTTAATACATTATAAATTAAATTACATATTCTTTCAGGTTTGATTAACATAATCAGGCAAAATTGAATTAAAAACATTTATTATATTCAGAATAATTTTTTTGCTACTATTTAAAATACAAAATAGAGCAACTTCCTTTCAACATGACTCATTCAAGGGAAGCTCATAGACTGTTTGTCTTCAAACTAGTAATCATGGTTGCATATAATTTTTCTTGGTTCGAAGGACTATGTTCCTTATAAAAAAAGAACATTATAAATTTAGAAAAACACCCTACTGATTTAAGAAAAGGTTGATATAAAGAGTCTGTTGTTGACTCACTGTCAGCTACATCTAAAGACAAATCAACATATTTCCATGGAGAATGTCTCGTGCTTGCAGTTTACAATCGATGAGGAGGACAGAAGTGATAATATATGACACTTTCTACTTATATATTAATTTTGTACCCTAATATACATCTGAGAGAATTTACAAATGGTCAAAAGCAAAAATACTGAAGGAAGACATTTCTTTTCCCATCGCAGGCCATGGAGAAAAAAAAGAAGTAATATACATGAAACCTAAATGTCAGACAATTGTCTTAGTACCAAATTCTAAACAATTCAATATTTGATTGTGTGACTAGATTTTATAGTATATCAACCATTATATCAATGTGCTCAGTTTGTTATATTTACACACAACATTTGGTTATAAACTTAGCAGTGACTAGAGGTCACTAGAATCTTTCTGTTGCTACAACCTCAGGCTTGTTCCTAACAGAAGAAAAAAACACGAAGGCACATGCAGGAAATTGGAAAAGTAATCAGAAGAAGGCCAAACAGCTGATCACGAGAGACATATCCTTAGGATCAATGTCTATGGCCACAGATGCCATTTAATTTCATTGTTCATTTCATTCACTTATTTGCATCTTTAAGTTAAAATACGGGTTTCTTTGGTTTTGTTTTTTTCCTAGTATGTGCTTTCAGTGTTTTAAAAACTGATCTGAAGACAGCTTATGTTCTGACAACTAAAATACTTCTAGCTTTGTGCCATGCTTTGTCCACAGCCAGGAACACTCCCAACAACTGCTCCAGGGGTGCTGAGAATTCTAACACCACCCTAGCAGAGGATTTCATGGCAAGAGGAAAAAGCCTCATGCACTCTCCTAACCAGATGTATGCAGGCATATCAGCTTTGGTGATTACAACTTCTATTCCTGCTTACTCGGGGTATCAAAAGATGTTTTTGCTACTATTGTATCACATTTCTTTTAATAAAATTGATAAAAGTTGTGACCACTTAAATGGGGCATGAGAGGTGGGATGCACAGATAGATTACAGGAATCCCAAATAAATGTATGTAATTCAAACCCCAACACATTTTATTTGGAGCTGATTTGATGTGCTTCAGAGGAGCACACTGTGATTGCGATGCACACCTTGTGTAACACTGTTCAATTACTTAATGCAATTCATGTTTGCAAAGAGTGCATTTCAAAATCTACAGCAATGAAAATCTCTAGTCCTAAAAACTCCAAATGCCTTACTGAGGTTACAGTAACCAACTGTCTCGCTGAAGGGGGCTACAGTGGGCTGATCTAAAAGAAAAAGTGGCAAGTAAGTCTTAAAGGCCAGCAAGAATACTCTATGAAGTAATCTGGCACATAGACAAAGCCTGCAGTAAATGATGATTTACTCCTTTTAAAGATGCTTTTTTCAATCAACTAGCTCTGGAGCTTTTGGAAACATTATTCGGATTCAAAGCTTGATTAATGTACAACCACTTTTATCTAAGACATTTATGCTGGGTTTGTTTATCCAAATTGCAGATTAACAAGACTGAAGATGCAGAAACACTACAGCTTGCGTATGTAGATCTTACCAGTCTCACAGGTGAAATCTTTCAAGTCTCACCTGTCAAAGCCAATTTTGCACCGTGCAAATGTGGCTAAACTACTCCTACAGCCAGGCCACACGGGAAAGAAGTGCAGCTGCAGAGCTGCGTAGCCAGTTTCAGAGGTCCACATCAACAGCCTACAGAGCCAGGCTGATGTTTCATCACCCACTGGGACTGGAAGTTACAATCCAACATGTGACTGTGCAGTCAGACTAGTCCTTCACAGCTTAACTACAAGTGGATTCATTCTGTATGTGCAACTGAAAGGACTCAGCTTGGGTTTGGAACTCTGTGAGGGATAATCCAGTTCCCTTCTTAACATAAAGCTTTGGAAATGGCATGATGATTGCTGGATACAGAAGAGAGCCACAGAAGGTACACTCAAATATCTGGGAGTAAAGAATGTAAAAATAAAACATTTTAAAAATGACAGATATGCCAAACACTAAGGCCAAAAGAGAAATTTTACCTTAGCTTTATGGATCTGGTTATCTGTTTATATTTCCAAGGCTTTTTGATTATAACATATTCCACATTGGTTCATCTCTCTTTCACTGCTCTATTGGAGGATTTTTTTACATGGGCTTTCTGGACTACATGCAGACACAACATTACATCCTGATTTTTTTTTTATTTGATTTCCTGGCCTTGAGAAAGCATCAGTTTAAAAACTCAGGCAGAAGTAACTTCCAGCAAAGAAGATTCTGAATCTTTAGATCTCAGGGCCACCATCTTCTTATTTTTTCTCAAGCTGACTGAATCTCTATATAAATAGATACTAGTATGACAAATGTGGTTGAAGAAGTCAAGTGACATTCAAAACACGTCTTCAGATGTTTGTCAGCAGGGAAAATGAATGGCAGGTAACCCACAGAACAGTAAATATCCATAATTAAAACAGCTACATTAGAATTTGTTTCTATGCCTTTGCACACAGAGTCTTTTCATTCACCTAAAAAATAAAAGTCAAAGCAAAAAGGGAAAGACAGAATGAAAAACTGCCAGAAAAATCTGGTTTCATTTAATACAGGAAAAAAGCAGAATCAGAAAATGGTCACTGCTTCAAAATGACAGTGAATTATGAGATTTAAGCTTTATTAAACTAAGAAAATGGCATATATCTCCAAAAAGAGATGTTAAAGAAAAATACTTGTTTTGTAGATATTCTGTAGCATTTGAAAATATTTGAAAACAGTTATTCAATGCTACAGAAAGTAAAGTTGAAACTGACTCAAATCAAAGCACCCTAAATGCAATGATATGTAAATGGTTTTCATTATCTAAGGAGATGTACAAAAAAATATAAGCAATGCAAATGACACATTAGTTGTTAGCTTTATGCTAACAGGATTGCATTCAAGGAATGTAACTTGCACCACTCTGCTCTTAAGCTATTGCCATTATTAGGAAGGTCAATATGCTGTTTTAGACTAAAGAACAATTTTTTGTACATAAATAAGAAATTAAATATACATAACCACTCAATATATACGACATGATCTTTATTTGAAATAGTTTTCATTATAAATTGTTATGCATATCTAATTTTCTGCTCATTAGGGTAACAGGTAAATCTAAATACTTAACCTTAACGACCCCAATAGCAAATTTCAAATTTATCTAAAAAATGGCAGTCTTGAGTGCTTTTCTTACTAGACATCTGAATGTTACAACCTTCACTAGGAGCAGAGAGTGAAGACACACTGGAGTCAGTTCAGACTTTCCTTATTTAAATTATGATGAAAAAAAAATAAAGTATCAGGACAAAATACTGAAAAAGTAAATTATGCTTAAATTTGCAGAGACAATAAAACAACCCCAAACTTGCAGAGGGTGATAAAGATTTGGGGGTACTTTAGCCTACACAACCCATTGTTTTATGAGGATGAAGGAATGTTCCCTGTGCTTCAGTTAAGAGACAGGTTCCATTGTTTCAGTTCATTCAGTTAAGAAGTGGGAAACATGGGTTTTGAACTTAGTCAGTTTATACAGAGCTTAGATGGGCCTGTCACATAATACTTAAACTTTTTTTGATAATATCAACTTACCTTCAAATGAAAACAAAGGTTTCCCAAATGATGCACATCTCGAATTTAAAATAATGTGATAATAAATATTTTTCACATCAAGATGCAGAAGTTATATACTGTATCAGAAAATACATACCTTACTTTTGTTTTGACAATGGATGACAGGACTTAGAGCAGATTTGGAGAACTGTACATGCTTGAATAGAATTTTCTGCTAGACCTGGATGATGAAGCTTCTTCTCAGCTCTGAAGGGAGATGGCAGAATGATCTTCCTAACTGGATATCCATGTCTACTGTAAATGGAAACAAAATGGTATCAGTTCAAGCATAACATGGTAATTTACAGAGAAAAAAAGCTATCTGAAAAATTCTCTTAAAATTGAATGAGGACTATATGGCCATAAAGTCTGTCCTGAGGGAATACTGATTAAGCACAAATCTTGTCTGACAGGTAATGAGTACGTGTTGGTCAGGCACAAGAATATCTAGGATGTGATGGAAAGAGAAGGAATGAAAAAGAGGAAACGCTCATACATACAATACACAGAGAATTATACACACTTATATCTAACTAAGAATTCTTAATAGAAAAAATTCAATACTCAAGCCAGCAAAAGTTATTCGAGTTTACTATCTGAGGGCAAGGCATATTTCAATGTAAAAATGGAATTTGTTTATTCTTCCCCCTACTCCTCTCATTCAAGGGGCCATCAGTAAGAGTAGCAATTTGAAGAACTATTTGAATTCCTTAGTCCAACTAACAAAAGACAATGCTTTCTCAGTCATAGCCTAACAGAAACTCCCCCTTATGTTGCCAATTATCTCCACCTCAGTTGTTGCCATCTACAACCATCATGTGCTGCAGGTATTAACCAATTCCCTCCCCAATCGGAGTAATATTCACTCCTGGCCTCTTACCAGCTACACTTTCGTGTCCTTCATTTCTCAGGACTTTTATTTAGAAATCCTGTTCCAGCAGTACTTAAACTTTGGCTAAAGCTCAAAACTTTATGCCTCTCAACTGTATTTCACAAGACATTCAATGCTTACACCGTTCCAGAGTAAATTATTATTAAAAATGTCACCAAGTTATCTAAATTACTGTATTAGTTTAACATCCACTCTAGATCTTCAAGTTTTCACATCCAGTAGCCTGAAATCCTTAAACACTACACCTTTTGCCTGACCATTCAGTGAATACAAACTTACTGCTCCACAAGTGTGAATATCATTCCTTTTCTGATACTGACCGCAGGCATTTCTCATTCCTTTCCTCAGTGAAAACAGATTAGCCAAGCTGCTACAAGCCCTGACACCTGCGCAATTTCTAATTCTTCCAAACATCCAAACTTTCCACATTGACTCCCTGAATCTCTCATCATTCCTCCAGGCCAAAATCATGAGACAACGCCTGAGAAACCTCAGCTGAGACCAACACTCTTCATCACCTTGGGCTTCTCTAGCCTGTACTGGGGTCCCACACTGCCTCGACTTCCACTTACTCCCTGTCTATTCCATTCCACAGTATTTCTTCCTTTCCCAAGTTCATAGAACACCCAAGTTGGAAGGGACCCACAAGGATCATTAAAGTCCCACCTCCTCGGCCTTCACAGGACCACCTCAAGAATCACACTTTGGGCTTGAGAGCGTTATCCAAACACTTCTTGAATTCTGTCAGGCTTGGCGCTGTAATCACTCCCCTGTGGAGCCTGTTCCAGTTCCCAAAAAACCTCTAGGTGAAGAACCTTTCCCAAATATCCAACCTAAGCCTCCCAGTGACACAGCTTAATGACATTCCCTCAGGTCCTTCACTCGTTGTCAAACACCTCCAAAATCATTGGGAATAACAGAACCCTCTAACACCGTCTTTTCAGTGTTAGAAAACAAGACATTACTTTATTTGCACCACTGGGTGTGCACGTGGCCAAGACGAATCCTGTCTCCATACAGATATCAACACATTACTCGTTCACCTATTTATACATTTTTAAAAAAGAAAGAAATTACTGTTTATTGTTTCCAAATTACATTAATTAGTATTCTATCCACTACTGGTTATCAATCTCCCATTGCTTATGCTATTTAGTTAATACTTTTAGTCTTTTTACTATCTTTTTCTTCCAGTAGGAATTTTCTGCCACAAATACTGAGCCTTTGTTAGTCTCGTTATCTGCTGCTTTCTGCGAAAGGTCCTTGTTTCCAGATGTCCATCTTCAACAATACATCTTTCTCTCATTGGCTTTGTTCATTGAAGCATATCAAGGTTAACATTAAGAAAATGTACAATTTTAGTACTTTTCTCAAGCTACATCTCACAAAAGTTGCTTACGACAGTCTTTGCTATAGGCTGGCTAAAAGTAATTTAAGACCTAACACACAACCTATGATTAATTAAAACAACTAATTAAAATGTTTAATTGAAAGCATTACAAAATATTAGAAAAGTTGTATCATTTCCAACAATCAGAGAGATCAGTGCTTGCCCCTCCACTTCCCATGGGAAGTTGCAGACTGCTGTGAGGTGTCCCCTCGGTCTCCACTTCTCCAGGCTGAACAAACCAAGTGACCTCAGCTAGTCACGTGGCTTCCCGTCTAGAGCCTTCGCCACCTTTGTAACCCTCCTCTGGACATTTTCTAACATTTCTAGCAATTCCTCTGAGCTTTTCCTGTGATCTCTTCTGCCTTCACGTAGTTTATCAAACTATCTTTCAGAGCATCAGCAACAACAAAGCCCGAGGCCCTCCCTCTCGGTGCGGGGGAGGGAACTTTCCGTCGCCCCCTGCGAGCGGCCCTACAAACCGGACCCCTGCAGAGACACCGCATCAGGTCATCCGAGAAAGGCGAGAGCGGAGCTGTTTCGGGCGGGCACTAGGGGCACCTTGCGCATGTTTTTCAATCCGGGCCTCCGGCTCAGCCGCGCGTCCCCTGCCGCCGCTCCGCCCCCCGCGGCTCGGCCCTCCCGCGCGATAGCACGGTGTTTTCCATCCTTAGCCGCCCACGGGAGACAAGTGGGCGGCGGCGACATGGGATTCGGCAGGAATTTCCAGGGACTTCCAGGGCTGCCCAGCCCTGCCGGGGGTGTCGGGAGGCAGCGGCCGTGCCAGGCCCGGCCGCGCGCGCACGAGACTCCCCCCGCGCCCTCGGGGGAGCCTGGCCTCCCATTGGCTGTGGCCGTGGCGCGGAGCGGCCAATCAGGGCCCGGGACGGAGCGGTACAGCTCGCTCTCCCTCGCCTCGTGCGGCGGCCGCGAGCGCGGAGGGCGGGGTCACGTGACGCTCTGTTTACATCCTCTCAGCTGTCGGGCCCCGCCTTCTGTCCCGTCCCTCGCACCGACACCGCGACGGGACCGCAGAGCCCCCGGCCCGCGCCCTCCGCCATCCGCCCCCGGGCCGCCGCAGCGCTCTGCCGCCTGTAATCCCCTCCCCAGGCGGGTCCGGCGCTGCCGCCCTGCGCAGGGCCCGCGGCCCGGTGCGGTACGGGTGAGTGTCCCGCAGCGGGGGTGGGCAGAGCTGCGCTCCAGCCGCGCTCTGCGGCGCCCAGGCCCCATGGGACGGCCGGAACGGTGGGTTGCGGCGAGGGGGTGGGAGCGGGGCCCACCGGCCCCTGCGCTCAGCTGAGGTCGGCTCCCCGGGTGCCCCAGGTCCCATTGTCCGCGGGCCCCGCACGCAGGCGCGGGGGAAGGCGGGGGGGGTGGGGGTGTTTGTTTTCGCGCAGCCGGGACAGGCGAGGGCTCGCCCTGGGGAGGGACGGGACGGGGGCTGTGCGCGTCCGCCCTCAGCAGCCCGTTTCTTCTCGTCCTCCTTCTTTGCCCGACCCCCGCCACCCCCCGCGCCATCCCGCCGCCTGCGTAATAAATAATCCTTGGCCCAAAAAGGGTTGGGAGGAGGGGAGGTGGTTGATGTAGCTGTCGCGGGCCCGGGGCAGCGGTGAGGGGACGAGGACAAGAGAGAAGGTTTCAGCCCTGAGATCCAGGCGGAGTGGGGGGTGGAGGCAAGGTAAGGACATTGCTCGTCCCCCACTGCGGCTCAGCGCCCTGCCTCTTCCCCCATGGCGGCAGTGGGTTTGCTTTTTGCCTTTGAGGAAATGCAGTGAGAACAGGAGCTTGCGTCTTGGGTTTTTTGTTTGTTTGTTTGGGGGGTTTTGTTGGTTTGTTTTTGGTTTTTTTTACCTCTGCCGAGCTTTTATAATCTCATGGGCTTGTGGGGGCTGGCTGCGTCTTCCAGGCCGAGGCATCTTTGAGGGGTGCGTGAAACAACGCTTCGTTTCCCGTGGGCTAAGGAAGGATATTTCTCTTTTCGGGAGAGGAGTTGGTGCAGCGGCAGTGAGGGGAAAATACTTTGTTTACATAAAGAAAGTGTGTGAAATGCGCGATAACTTCGCTTTTCGCCCGTAAGCCGGTCGGCGAGCCTTCCTGGCAGCCGCCAGGGGAAAGGGAGAAGACTGCTCTGCCCCCCGCTTTGCCATAAGCGCACATTTTGCCTCTGTTTACATTGTGGTCTCTGTTTTGGCTGGGAGCAGCGTAAGGGGAGGAGCAGGAACTGGCTCCAGGGCAGCCACCTCCGCCCCTCTGTTTTCTTTGTTGTTATCTGTTCGGGGAGGCGTCCTGGGGTCACGTCTGCCGGTAGCTGAGCCGCGATCTGCGGTTAATGGGATTCCTCTTGGGCCCGAAACCTCGGGCCGCCTTCTGCCGTGCGTGTGCCGGTCTTGTCTGTCCCCCGCCGTCGCCCTCCTCCCCCTTCCTCCGCAGTTGTCAGCGGCTCGCAGTGGAGTTGGAGAAAGGGGAAGGGAGGGCAGAGAGGGAAGGAATCTTGGCATTTATTTGATACTCAGTCAGCAGCCTGGACCAACTTTGTGCAGTTCTGTCGTGAAAAAAAAACTAAATAAAAAGCACCTCAAAAACTACCTATGGCAGAAGGGTGAGGGATTCGTTCAAAAACATCTTCAGGGTCTGCAGGGAAGAAGAGATGGAAGTACTGAACTGCTGCAGTGTGTGGAGAATGCTTTTGTGTCCTTGCAGTACTTGCCAGGGCCCACATAGTTACTGTTCTAGCGGGTATTTTTTCACTCCTGTCAAGTAAAAGTCAAATACAGTTGAACTGCACAGTTTAGTGAGGAAGTAGGGTTTCTTCTGATAATGAGGAACAAATTTTGATACACACATAAAAAAAAGACACAGGTAAGGCTAGTCAGCAATTGAGTGAATTAATGAAGATACCCAATTCCTCTTGACCATGTGACATTTCTGTTACAGAGAAGGCTTGTTAAGATGCAAGATTCAAAAAATCTTATGCCTAAAATTAATAAATTACAAGCATGTATTGTAAGAATGTCTTTGTAACGTTAATCCATTATGCTTGCAAATGAATCATAATGTGTGATACATTTTTTTCCCCAACAGGACCATTACCTTACTCTGGGCAGACCATCTCTGAGAGGAGTCAGGCTTGGATAAATGGAGCTGTCTTCTGCAGAACTCCTGCCTGATTTGTGGGGAAAGTTTGAAAAATACTTTGGTTGTGTAGGTGGAAAAATGTGTGAAAGATCTATTGGTGTTTTAGCTGACTTTGGGTGAATAAATATAATGATAGGAATGTAGGAAGTATATGAGTGAGGTCAGAGAGCCACAATGAGGGCTTTGGAGATGGACACTTAGCCAGATGTTCTTTAGAACAGTCAGTGTCCCTCAGAAATGCTAGCAAAAACAATTGGATGTTGTTGGGAGGTCTGCAGTGAGGAGAATGTCATGAAATCACAGAAACAGAAAAAAGTATGTAATACTGAACAGTGCTGGGTGGCCAAATCTCATCACTGTGTGTTGTCCAGGATTAGGTTCCTTCCCTGCATAATCTCTGATCTTCCTTCCAGAATTCTTGTAAAAATATTCCTGCCTCTCTAGTTGGCCTTCTTTCTGGATTTTCTTCATTTAATCTGACTGTGTCATGAGTTGCTTTAGATGTTTGACTAGCCAGTTTCAGTTTTGCAGTGTTTATAAATTTATGAAGTCTCACCATTTTTATAATCACAATCTTGGCGGATTGGTGGTTTTTATTGCTTAGTCTTCTGTTTGCCTGTCAGTGACTGCCTCAAGCTGCAGCATCTCCTTTTGAAGAGGATTCTGCCTAATAGGAGAATAAGAATAGGATCTGACTGCCAGACATGTATTGTGGTTTTCCATGCCTGTGCTGGACCACACCAGAGCAGTCACTTGTCTGTGTTTCTGTAACCTTGAAGTGCTTTTGAGATAGTGTGTATTCTGAAGCTAAAGGTAGGCTTAGGCATGATACTACTGCAGGTGGAAGTCTTAAAAGAGCATGTTGCCTGTGATATTTTTTTTTCTTTAGGCAAATTTAAAAGACATTAGCACAAAGATAAAATTTGAAATTCCTACAGCAAGATACAGTTTGGTGTAGGGTTTTTTTCCCCAAAGATACTCCCAAAACTAGGCAAGATAATTTTTCCATGAAGTGTTCCAGAAAGATTTATGTCAAAGTTTTAAAACTTCCCCAGAACAAATACTTAAAAAGCAATTTTGAAATAGTTAGGCGTATGGGAATGCTCATCCCAGTCTCAGGTGCACGGTGAGAAACACCTGAGAATACAGTCATTGTTTCTCGGTGAGAAATGTCTTTACATGTGTCCTTTTTATTTCCTGCTTTGTTCCCATTTTCAGCAGGAATGTCACAGAGATGTGCTATTCTACCCTGCTGAACTGAAAGTGATGTTCTGTAGCTGATGATTAATTAGCTCTCTGTATAAGAAAAGTGCCTTGAAGTCTACAGCAGTTGGCACTCTTGAATGCAAACATTGTTTAATATTATCTCATTTATTTTACCTACTTAGAATGTAAATTTCTTAAAGCAGAAGTGGGTAGAATATATGTGCAATCATGTTTTGCAAATGAATAATCAGGTATATGACTGCCCTAAGGCACTCCGTGATTCTTCCGGTAGGGTCAGAAGTTGATCTACATGCTTCATCTTCTCCAACCAACAAGCATGGATTTTTTAAGTGGAGAATTCTTTTAAAGTATCTGGTTTGCAGAAGTGTGATCACACTGTTCCACTTCATTATTTGTGGAGTTCTAGGGACTAAAGTGTAGTAGTTATGATGAAATATTATGAGTATAATTATATGAAAGCATCAGGAAATAACTACCGTGCTTCAATTCCTTTGGGACTTATTTGTGTGCACTGGATGTTAATGAGAGCCTTCAGGCCTGCTTCATGCAAGCTCTTAAAGCAGTTGCTGCTGCTATGTTATTTAAGAAATTTGGACTGGACTTCTGGTCCTTAAAGAAAGACTAGAATTTGTAGCAGCTTAGGACGACAAAGATAATTTTTGCAGAACTGAAAGACAGCTGACATTCAGAACAGTGATCTTGATTCTCTGTCCATTTTGTCCTGGTACCTCATGCCAACTTGATGTTTCAGAGTTAGTGTTGCAACTCCAGAGTTGACAGTGATGTTAAATAATCTCGAGGAGCTTGGAATCCTGATGGAATGTATGTGTGTGAATTATTGCTAAATCTATGTCTGATCAGAAACTTATTGGAAATGTTGAAAGGAAGAAGTAAAAGTAAACTGAAAACAAAGATGCATTTAAAAGTGGCAGTTAGTCCAAAGAAACTTATTTCTGGAAGGAAAAAAGGATTGGAAACGGTATCTGGAAACAACTGTAGGGTCTTTATCACTTGTACGTTGTGACTACAATTGGAATGTGACTTACTTCTGAGTGGATTTTATCAGTGCTTTAAATTGAAGCACAAAAATATAAATTGCCCTTTATTGTGAGGAGAAAATACTGGTTTAGAGGTCATCACAGAGCACAGAACAAACAAACAAAAAAGGACAAACCCTTAAACTCCACAGCCCTAAAATAGTTCAGGCGTGACATCAGGAGTCTCTCTGGTTACTCACAGGCTACAGATTCTGGTGTATTCTCACGTGGTGAAGTTCTAGAGTGGGGAAGTGACTATGGAGCAGGATTAAACTGTCTTGTGGCAGAAAAATACTTGGAGCCTGCTGCTTAGAAAATGCATTTAATGAAGGCTAATTTTGGAGTTCTGGCTTTGTTTTGTATAATGTTTAGCAAAGAAAGGATATAAAGATCTTGTTTGTTAGAAGTGCAGAATATTGCATTCTACGA